CATATAGTTTGGTGATGTTTAGTATATATTCACAGAGTTGTACAGCCATCTTAATTTAATTTTTAGAACATTTTCAACACCCAAAGGCTATCTATGATGCATTAAAGTCTCACTCTGTGAAGGGAATATCCTAGAAATGAAGTCTCCATCTTGCTATTTCCCTGAGACAGCAAGTTAACCCAAGATAGCTCCTGTTACCAGTTCCTTTCTCTCTCTGTCTCTCTCTCTCTCTCTCTCTCTCTCTCACACACACACACACACACACACTTTAAATTTTTCATTAAAAAATACATGACATACCACATATGCTATTTTGCAACCTACTTTTTTTGTGTGTACACAGTATCCCAGGTCCAACAACTTACTTTTTTACTTGCTAATATTTACTAGAAATTGTTTAATATCAGCATACATAATAGTTGCCTCAAAGTATGTGTGGTGCCTGATCACTTCTCATTACTCTCACTGCTATCACACACATCTTACTCCAAATCATCTCTTGCAGGAGCTGCCCATCTCTACTGCTGTTTTCCCTGCACTTCTACGGTCTCTTTTTAATACGATGACCAGAATCATTTTCTATATTTGTGGTTTGGATCATCTCCCATTCAGAGCAAAGCCAAAGACCTCTCAGAGCACTATAAGGTCAGTCCAACATGATCTGCTCATCCGCCACCACCCCAGTTGCCTCTCAGCCTCATCTCCAACAACCCTCCTCCCAATTCACTCTATTTTCATCACTGTAGCCTGCTGGGAACTCCTCAAACACACCAGGCATGCTCTCATCTCAGGCTCAAGCCCAGGAGGTAGAGCCTGCAGTGAGCCAAGGCATGCTCTTGTCTTGGCCCTTGCTGCTCCCCTCACTAAGAGGCTCTTTCCCCTGATGTCTTCATGGCATCCTCCCTGATCTCCTTCACTCAAAGTCACTTGTGGGCCAATCACAGTGGCTCATGCCGGTAATCCCAGCACTTTGGAAGATTTGAGGTGGAAGGATCACTTGAGGCCAGGAGTTTGAGATCAGTCTGGGCAACATAGTAAGACTCTGCCTCCACAGAAAAATTTAAAAACTAACAGGTATGGTAGTGTGCACCTGTCGTTCTGGCTGCTTGGGAAGATGAGGCAGGAGGATCACTTGAGCCCAAGAGTTTGAGTCTGCAGTGAGCCATAAACACATCGCTGCACTCTAGCCTGGGTGACAGAGCAAGACCCTGTCTCTTAAACAACAGTAACAACAACAAAATACCCTTCAGGTTGAGTATTTCTTAACCACCACCTTCCCCTCTCCTACACACACTCCCATCCTGCTTGCCTACTTTTTCTCTGCAGCACTTATCGCATTAAACATGCCATTTAATTTACTTACTTATCATTGAGATCGTAGGTATTAGGAAAACAAATTACTTGTTTACTGTCTATACACAAGCTTCATGAGACCAAGAATATTTGTCTATTTTTGTCCATTGCTATATTCCTGTACTTAAAACAGAATCTGGCACAAATTAGGCAATTAATTATATTAACGGAGTGAATGGATAAATTTATGCTGCAGTGCATTTGTGTGTTTGTGTCCTATTAGTGTCACCCACGCTAGTATAGTTCAACCACTGCCACATTTTTGGATGTCAGTATGCTTTTGGTCTTATATGACCTTGCTGAAATTGCTTGTAACTTCTTTTTTGTTTGTTTTTGAGACAGGGTATCACCTTGTCACCCAGGCTGGAGTGCAGTGGAGCAATCTTGGCTCACTGCAGCCTCCACCACCTGGGCTCAAGTGATCCTCCTGCCTCAGATCCCCAAGTAGCTGGGACTACAGACTCGTGCAATCATGCCCAATTAATATTTTCTTTTTTCTATTTTTTTTATTTTTAGTAGAGATGAGATTTTGCCATGTTGGCCAGGCTGGTCTCAAACTCCTGAGCTCAAGCAATCCTCCCGCCTTAGCCTCCCAAAGTGCTGCGGTTACAGGCATGAGCCACCATGCCCAATCTGCTTGTCACTTTTCTGAGCCTTCATTTTTCCTCTACAAAATAGAAACCTGGCCTGGCATGGTGGCTCTTGCAGGTAATCCCAGTATTCTGGAAGGCTGAGGTAGGCAGATCACTTGAGGCCAGAAGTTAGAGACCAGCCTAGCCAACGTGGCAAAATCCCATCTCTACTAAAAATACAAAAAAAAAAAAAAAAAAAAAAAGGGAAAAAGAAAGTATTAGCTGGGCATGACTGCATGAGTCTGTAGTCCCAGCTACTTGGGGGATCTGAGGCAGGAGGATCACACTTGAGCCCAGGAGGTGGAGGCTGCAGTGAGCCAAGATTGCACCACTGCACTCCAGCCTGGGTGACAAACTGAGACTCTATCTCAAATTAAAAAAAAAAAAAAAACAAGAAGAAGCATTTTATAGGGTTTTTGTGAGGATTTAAATTTTTATTTATTTTATTTTTTTAGAGACAGGATCTTGCTCTGTTGCCCAGGCTGGAGTGCAGTGGCCTGAGCCACTGCTCAGTCATAGCTCACTGGCTGCCTTGAATTCATGGGCTTCATCCTCCTGTCTCAGCCTCCTGAGTAGCGGAGACTACAGGCATGCTGCCATGTATAGCTAATATTTTTTATTTTTTTGTAGAGCTGAAGGTCTTGCTGTGTTACCCAGACTGATCTCAGCCTTGTGGTCTCAAGTGATCCTCCTGCCTCAGCCTGTCAAAGTGCTGAGATTACAGGTGTGAGCCAATGCACCCAGCCAGAACTGAAAATTTTAGAAGAATGTATAGTGGTAGCACCATGACTGGCTTATAGTAAGTTCTCAATATGATAATTTCTCTCATTAATTATTCATCAGAAATGACCTTATGAGAAGAATATATGGCTATATCTATATATAGCTCCAACTTCTTTTTAACATAATTGTGTTGACTTTTAGTTATTATTCCGTTATAATAGAATATATGCCACTTTGTTCTTTTTTTTTCCTCAAAAAGTCATTCAACATCTTTAATAAAAAATGTTTCAGCTTTTCAGAGATAGAAAACTTTATCTTTGCATTTCTACTTTCTAGCTAGTCCCAAACAAAATACTTGCTCATTAAATTTTGTGGAATAAATAAATGGAAGAATAAATATCAATGGGCACGAGCAAGTTTATATTTACTGCAAAGCTGCAATGTGTCAGGCACTGCAGTTTGCACTGGGGGATATAAAAAAATAACATTTAATGGTTGAAGTTTATTTCAAGACCTCTACCTGGTAATCATTGAGTTTGGGGGAATGTATGTTTATTTCAGAAGTTCTCTAGCTGGGGGAGGGGGAATTTGGAGTCCTCACCTTGTGCAAAGCAAAACAAAACAAAAAACTCCAGAAAGATGTCTTTGCCACAATTTCTCAGAAGAGCTTTAAAACGAAACAGAACGTCAGTGGTTTATCAAATAGGCATCAAGAGTGAAGCAGCAGACCTACCAGTGTGGGAAACCCTACGGTGATTCAAGACCTCCAAGAATTCCTGTGGTTCTCAGTAAGTCCCCACACTCACTGATAACTACCAATGACACCAGCTTTGATGCAGAATGAGATGATGAGTGAGCTGGGCAGCTTGAGGAAGAAAAAAAGCTCTTAACTAGAATCCAGCTCTGCACTCTGACCTCAAGCAAGACAATCCTAAACCTCAGTTTCCTCACGCTAAAATTACGTTTTGAAAAATAAACCTGCCTCTGGCTGGGCGCAGTGGCTTATGCCTGTAATCCCAACACTTTGGGAGGCTGAGGTGGGCGGATGACGAGGTCAGGAGTTCAAAATCAGCCTGGCAAATATGATGAAACCCCGTCTCTACCAAAAATACAAAAACTAGTCGGGTGTGGTGGTGCACACCTGTAGTCCCAGCTACTCGGGAGATGAGGCAGGAGAATTGCTTGAACCCAGGAGGCAGAGGTTGCAATGAGCTGAGATTGCACCACTGCACTACAGCCTTGATGACATAGTAAGATTCTGTCTCAAAGCAAAACAACAACAACAACAAAAACCTGCTTCTGAACGGGCACAGTGGCTCACACCTGTAATCCCTTTGGGAGTATGCGGTGGGTGGATCACCTGAGGTCAGGAGTTTGAGATCAGCCTAGCTAACATGGCGAAAACCCATCTCTACTAAAAATAAAAAAATTGGCTGGGCCTGGTGGCAGGTGTCTGTAATCCCAGCTACTTGGGAGGCTGAGGCAGGAGAATCACTTGAACCTGGGAGGCAGAGGTTGCAGTGAGCTGAAATTGCACCACTGCACTCCAGCCTGGGTGACGAGAGCGAAATGCCGTTAAAAAAAAAAAATTAACCTGCTTCAAATGAGCGAATAGGCGAGAAAATCTTCCATATCCTGAAAATCACCATACAGATGGGTCTCTAGTTCTGATGGGGAGCAAAAGTCCCTTGGGATCATTCATTCAGCATCTATTCCTGAGTGCCAGCTGGCACTGTGCTACCTACACGCTTGGGACACAGAGACCAGCAATCTAGACAGCACCCCTGCTCTTAGCAAGCACACCATCCATGGCCAGGATTTTATCCCCAGGAAGTAATTCAGCTGAAGCAAAAATATTTTTCCAAGATGATCCTTGAAAGGGTACCCACAACAACAACAAAACTGGAAACAACCTAGATATTAATAAAAGCGGAATAGCTTCATAAATTACACATCCCAGGATTTTGATTGAAAAGAATACCCAGCCTACCCACACCTACATCCTGGCAGGGTTAGCTTCTCCCCTGTAGAGGCATTGATTTGTTTTGCTGGGGAGGCTGGTGACCCTGACCCAAGGGGACAGCTGCATGGAGGCCAGGACAAAGGGGTGTGAGATGAGTATAGGTCACAAAGGACAGCAGAGGATAAATGTGGTGATGCCAGAGGATTTGGGCAGAAGCCCTGTAGAGAGATGGGTAGTTGCCTTCTCTCCCTCTCTTTCTTGGGGACTCCATTTGTGGCTGGTGGAGCTGTCTTAAATGTAGAGAACCATGAGCAATGAACCTTGTTTACCTTATTACACGGCCCACAGCTACCGTTCAATGAGTGTGTTCAGAACCTCCATGGGTGACCTGCAACGACAGTTGTACAAGAGAGGAGAGTACGACATTTTCAAGTATGCACCAATGTTCGAGAGTGATTTTATTCAGATAAGCAAAAAGGGAGAGGTGATTGATGTACACAATCGTGTCCGAATGGTGACAGTGGGTATCGTCTGCACCAGCCCCATCCTCCCACTGCCTGATGTCATGCTGCTGGCCCGACCAGCTAAAGTCTATGAAGAGCATGCCAGACAGGGCTGGTTTGCCAAGGGGAGACGTCGCAGGCCCCCCAAGACTCTAGAGCTCACGAGACTAATTCCCTTGAAGTTTGTGAAGATCTCCATCCACAATCATGAGAAACAGCAGCTGCGCCTGAAACTTGCCACTGGCCGTACCTTTTATCTGCAGCTGTGTCCATCTTCTGACACCCGGGAAGATCTCTTTTGCTATTGGGAAAAACTTGTCTATCTCCTGAGGCCGCCAGTGGATAGTTACAGCAGTACTCCAACACTTCTAACTGGGGACACAGCACCAGAAGACAACAAAAGCCTACTGGTAAGCCTCTCTAGAGGCTCGAGAAAAGGGGGAAGGGTTTTATGGGGGAGTAGTTCAAAGCCAGTCCTCCAAAGCCTTTGGTGCTTTCTGAGGTCCACCTGGAAAAGGTATTCCATTTACAAAGGCTCAGGACCAAATGAGCCACTACTAGCAGACTGAGCATACTGAGAGGTTGGAGGGCTTCTTCAGAGTGTCCCATAAGGCTGAATTTCAGAGACCTTAGGTATCAGTTACTCTGGCCTCACAACCAGGGTTGAAATCCTTTCTACAGCATCCTGATTGTCAGCCTTTTCTTGAACACTTTTTACCCCGACCCAGGTGTTCTGATTTACTGTGGAACGTTCATTTTGAGATGGAGTTTTGTTCTTGTTACCCAGGCTGGAGTGCAATGGCGCGATCTCGGCTCACCACAACCTCCGCCTCCTGGGTTCAAGCAATTCTCCTGCCTCAGCTTCCCGAGTAGCTGGGACTACGGCATGCGTCACCATGCCCAGCTAATTTTTGTATTTTTAGTAGAGACGGGGTTTCACCATGTTAGCCAGGATGGTCCCTATCTCTTGACCTTGTGATCCACCTGTCTCAGCCTCCCAAAGTGCTGGGATTACAGGCGTGAGCCACTGCACCCCCCTTGTTGTGGATCTTTTATTTGTATAAATTGAAGGGGTGAAGTGTAGTTTGTTGTTTTTTTTTTTTTAATGTGGATATATTGCATACTGGTGAAGTCTGGGCTTTTAGTGTAACCATCATCTGAATAATATACATTGCACCTACTAAGTAATTTCTCATCCCTCACCCTTCTCCCACCCTTCTGAGTATCCAATTTGCAATCGGAGACTGTACAGTTTTTGGTGCAACTTTTTTTCAGACAGTTTAATTCTTGTCTCCCAGGCTGAAGTGCAATGTCGAGATTTCAGCTCAATGTAACTTCCGCCTTCCTGGTTCAGACGATTCTCCTGCCTCAGCCTCTGAGTAGCTGGGATTGCAGGAAGCTGCCACTGTGTTAAACTAATTTTTTTATTTTTTATTATTTTTTTTTTAGTAGAGATGAGGTTTCACCATGTTGGCCAAGCTGGTCTTGAACTCCTGACCTCAGGTGATCAACCTGCCTCAGCCTCCCAAAGTGCTGTGCAATATTTTTAACAATGAGAAGTCTTTCTTCCATTTGAGTCACAGTCTGTCTCCTGTGACTACCAGGCACTGATTTCTGCATCAGTCACTACACCCTGCCTGTGTGTATGCACGTGCACAATCTTAGAAGCCACCAAAATGTAAAGTGAGTGTATCCCTAGACTCTGCAATCCCACTTCTGGAAATCTGTCCTGCAGAGCATGTAAAAATAAGTATATAAAATACAGTGTCCAAGGATGAGGAGTTGTATCAGTACTTTCTCTGGTACTGGAATTTTTCAACAAAAACTGAGTGACCATTGAAGGGTTGCTGTAGATGGAACCTGGCAACAAACGAGAGCGAGACTTAGACTAAGGCCGGAGGCAGTGGCTCACGCCTATAATCCCAGCACTTTGGGAGGCCTGGCAACAAATGAGAGCGAGACTTAGACTAAGGCCGGACGCAGTGGCTCACGCCTATAATCCCAGTACTTTGGGAGGCCAAGGCAGGCGGATCACCTGAGGTCAGGAGTTTTGAGACCAGCCTGGCCAACATGGTAAAAACCCCCATCTTTACTAAATATACAAAAAAAATTAGCCAGGCGTGGTGGCAGGTGCCTGTAGTCTCAGCTACTTGAGAAGCTGAGGCAGGGGAAAATCCCTTGAACCTGGGAGGCAGAGATTACAGTGAGCCGAGATAGCACCACTGCATTCCAGCCTGGGTGACAGAGCAAGACTCCCTCTCAAAACAACAACAACAACAACAACAACAACAACAAAACCTTAGACTTGATGATTTTAGAGGTTCTTCTTCTTCTTCTTCTTTTTTGAGACAATGTCTTGCTCTGTTGCCGAGGCTGGAGTACAGTGGCACAATCTTGGCTCACTGCAGCCTCTGCCTTCTGAGTTCAAGTGATACTCCTGCCTCAGCCTACTGAGTAGCTGGGATTACAGGTGTGTGCCACTCTGTCTGGCTAATTTTTTGTATTTTTAGTAGAGGTGGGGTTTTGCTGTGTTGGCAAGGCTAGTCTCAAACTCCTGGCCTCAAGTTATCTGCCCTCCTCAGCCTCCCAAAGTGTTGAGATTACAGGCGTGAGCCACCATGTTCGATCCAGGTTCTTCTAATCATAAACCTTTGAATTGTTCCGCTCCAGCATAAGAGAGCAGCAGACAGTTCTGAACTCTCTTTCAGTCATCTCTATCTCACCTGTTTCTCCTCCCCTTGGTACAGGCTGCAGAGCGCCACAGAAAAGGGGATCAGAGTGAGACTGGGCTTCACAAGCCTTGTGATGTATCTGCAGCCACCTCCTCTGCTTATGCTGGGGGAGAGGGAATCCAACATGCCTCCCATGGAATGGCTAGTGCGACTTCTCTAGACACAAGCACTGCAGGGGCTGCTGAAGGAGCAGCAGCAAGGACAGCAGGTGGCGTGGCAGCAGCAGCAACAGGCCCCAGAGCAGGTGTGGCAATAGCAGGGGCAGCCATGAGTCCTGCAACAGGCGCTGTGAGCATAGCAGCAACCAAACCTGCAGGCCCAGGCCAGGTGATCACAACACTCGCAGGAGCAGCCATCAAAAATCCAGGAGAAAATGAATCCAGCAAGTCCATGGCAGGTGTTGCCAACATATCCTCAGATAGTATTAACTTAGCCTTGGCGGGTGTTGCAAGCACCTCCTCGGCAGGTACTTCTACCACGATGGCGGGGGCCGCCAGTCTCTCCCAAGACAGCAGCTTGAGTACGGCATTTGCAGGCAGTACGACAGGCAAGTGTGTGGCAGAAAGAACTCAAGGACCACCACTGGGACCCCTCGTGTCCACCTTGCAAAGCGAAGGCTACATGAGTGAACGGGATGGAAGCCAGAAGGTTTCCCAGCCCAGTGCTGAAGCCTGGAATGAAAAAAAGGAAAGAAGAGAAAAGAAGGACAAACGTCCCAGTAGGAAAAGTTCCCATCACCGCAAGGCGGGTGAAAGTCACCGCAAGGCAGGTGAAAGTCACGGCAGAACAGCAGGAGACAAGACCCAGAAAGCATCCTCCCACCGGTCTATATCCGGCCATAAAAACACGAGAGATGACAAAAAAGAAAAAGGGCGCAGCAAGGCAAGGGGCAAGGGACGTGGCTCCTCTCGCAAGAGCTCCAGCCACAGTTCCACCAAAAAGGAGTCAAGAACAACTCACAAATTGGGGAAGAAACGATCCGCATCTAGTACAGGAGCTTTAAGTAAGAAAGCCAGTAAAATCAGCTCTTTTTTAAGGAGCCTCAGGGCCACTGCTGGTTCAAAAACAAGGGTCACATCACACAACAGAGAAGTAGACATTGTGGCTAAGATGGTGGAGAAGCAAAACATAGAGGCCAAAGTGGAGAAAGCCCAGGAGCTGGAGGTGATCAGTGGCACTATGACATCCGAGATGACGGAGATGATCATCTTTGAAACCAAATCCATTTGAGGAGGAGCCAGGGCTACAACTACGCAGGGATCTGGGAAGTATCCCTAGAGAGCCCATCCAAGCTTTCTTTACTGGAGTTTAAATAATAAAGGAAATCATACAACCCCTAAATAAATAAAATCTCCTGTTTGAATTTTTTCTGCCCCATAGCCTGGCAGTGACTTCATAGTGGCTTCTGTGATGGTGACCATATTACAGCCTGAGACCCAATCCTCCAGACAGGTAGAGCCCCACCACCCACCCAGGCCCAGCAGAGCCAATGTGAGTGTTTTGCTTTGCCTCAACCCCTTTCTGCCTTTGCTTCCCCCAGACTGTCAAAGTCACAGATTAAGAGCTGGATGCACCACCACCACCACGTCCCCATGCCCATTCTCTTTTCCCTGAATGCTCCTGAACATGGACATTCAGTCCAGTCCACAGACCAGGCAGAGCCAGGATTCACATCCCCTGAGGGGATATTCAGGGGAGGAAGGAGCAGTGCGGCAGCATTTGTAGGCAATTAGAATAGGAAATCTATGCATCTAGATCGGGAATTGGCAAACCATATTCTGAGGTCCAAATCTTGCCAGCTGCCTGGATTTGTAAATAAAGTTTTACTGGAACATAGCCACAGCCATTCCTTTGCATATTGTCTATGGCTGCTTTCACGCTAAAATGACAGATGTGAGTAGTTGCAATGGAGACCATATGGTCCACAGAGTCTAAAATATGATCTGGGCCTTCACAGAAAATGTGTGCTGACTCTTGATCTAGTCTTAACAAGTCTTCCTTCTAGGTGTAGACAGTGGAGAAATTCTCACATATGCTTGCCAGTAGACAACTAGGAGAATGTTGATAGTAAAACAAATTGTAATAGCAAAACCCTGGAAATCCTCAAGTGTTCATCAAACAGGAGAATTAATAAAT